TGCGTGTGCGTGTGCGTATGTGCGTGTGCGTGTGCGTGTGCGTGTGCGTGCGCGCGCGCGTGCGCGTGCGCGCGCGCGTGTGTGTGTGTGTGTGGTGTGTGTGGTGTGTGTTGTGTGTGTGCGTGTGTGTGCGTGTGTTGTGCGCTGTGTGTGTGTTGTGTGATGTGTGTGTTGTGTGAGGGGTGTGTGTGTGTGTGCTGTGTGTGTGGTTGGTGTGTGTGTGTTGTGTGTGTGTTGTGTTGTGTGTGTTGTGTGTTGTGTGTGTGCGTGCGTGCGTACGTGCGTTCGTGCGTGCGTGCGTACGTGCGGGCGGGCGTGCGTGCGTGCGTGTGTGTGTGTGTGTGCGCTTGTGTGTGTGTGGTGTGTGTGTTGTGGTTGTGTTTGTGTTTGTGTGTTTGGATGCGTGATTGCGTGGAAGTGTGTGGTGTTGTGTGCGTTTGTGTATGAGTGTGTGCTTGTATGTGTGTTTGTGTATTTTTTGTGTGTTTGTGCGTGTGCTTGTGTGTTTGTGTGTGGTGTGTGTGCGCTTGTATGTGCGTGGGTGGGTGGGTGGGTGACGGGGGGCTCCGCCTGCTCCCTCATTGGCACGGCCACATCGGCGTCTTTCACGTGCATGCGCGTTCACGCGTTGTTCTGCAACTGCCTCAGTCCACACCACGTCTCACTGGGCCAAGAAAAGGTCTGAGATGGACTGACTGTGTGGCGCGTGCTACTTCGGACCGCGTGCGCCTCTGGCCACCGTCGCGCCAGACGCAGCGCACGCGCGCATACATGCCAGGCGTAGTGCGCGTGCGCTCACGCGCGCAACATGCCAGGCGGAGCGAGCGTGCGCTCCCAGCGCAGACAGAGTGTCGCACTATCGCCCGCTGCCCGTGCCGCCGTTCGCTACGCTGTCGTCCATTCCGCCCCGCTCCGTCCTCCTCCTCCTCCTCCTGAGCATCTTCCTCCCCCCCCCCGAGACCCGACGTCGTGAAAATGTCCGCCACGCCACAAACACACACCGACACACACACACACACACACACACTCTCTTTTGGGCCGTCGCGGCCTCGCGCGCAGGGTCGAGGCGGAGAAAGTCACCAAACGGGCGGGCGCGCGCGCGGAACATCACACACACGCGCGCACACACAATCACACGCGCGCACGCACAGTCATACATACACACACATGAACCCACACACACACACACACACACTACCAAAACTATCGACGCAATCTGTGCACGGGATCTCTCGAGCCAGATCGATCCGCGAGGGTCAGCCATGGGCCCGAGCCGGGGCCGGAACGCCCGTCGTGTCTTCCTCTGCCGCGGCGCCTTGATCATGAGCGAGGCTCTTCATGCCCCGATTTGCCCCGCTCTGCCCCGCTCTGCCCCGAGCCTCTGGTCTGTAGCTCTTTTGGCTCAAGCGAGCCCGGCTTCCGGCAGGCACTCGGGCGCGCGCGCGCGCCCGCCAGCGGCCGTGATGGGACTTTCTGGATGCGGCGCTTCATGGGCGGCTGCGAGCACAAACGCTCGCCCGACGCCTGCGTCGGCAGCGGCAAGCTGAGCTCGGTACCAGCCGCGCGCCGGCCCTCAGCCACAGGGTCAAGGCCTTCCGCCTCGCGTTGAAGGGCCACTTGGAGCTCTCGGACATCCTCAGGGCGTTCGACCGCTTCTTCGGCAACACACTAGCGGCGGCGCACACGGCCGTGCCCCTGGCAGAGTTGATCTCCTACGAGGAGGTTCACGCCCATGGTAATTGGGCGAAGCACTCGCCTCCTCCCGACGCCGCAGTGCCACTGCCGCCCGTTCCAGCTGGCGCGGTGGCGGCTGCCGCCTTGGAGCTGCTGGCCGCGATGGCCCACGGCTTTCACACACAGCTTCGTGCCGACGGCCCAGAGTTTGCTCCTGGCGACGGCACACTGGAACGAGCAGAATCATCCGACCACCACGGATGGACAGCTCAGGCAGCAGGAGAGGGACTGTGCCGCCGACCCACGCCAAGTGCGTGCTCTTCGGCACCTCCTCGAAGAAGCCGCTTGGGCTGGAGGGTCGGCACGGTGATGCAGGAGACGGGCCCGCCTGGTGAGGCTGGCGAGCCTTGCCTTGTGGAGACGATCGGCGAGATCTTCTTGGGGAGTCGCCGTCTGCTGGCGTCGTTTGTGGCGTCTACGGCCCACGACCTGCGTGGAGCTTGCGCAGCTCGCCATGGCTCTGATCCTCGAGGTGATGCTGTTTGTCGTCACAAAGTCATGGATGGTCGAGGTTCTACTCCAAACGAAGACGATGCTCTTCCTCACGATCCTGCATTTCCTCATGAATGTCTTCCTGATGATGCTGAGGCTAGTGGAGGCGGCTGTCACGGCGAAGATCGTGGTTGTCCTGAGCCTCGCGAATGTGTGCCTCCCCGTGTCTTGTGGAATGCATGCCAAGCTGTTGCCAAGACGTGTGGCTTGATGTGTCGTCTCCCTTCTCGCGTCCCTCCCAATTTCTACCGCCCTCCCGAATAGGTAGGCAGGCTCGGTCTCTCTCGTGTCAAGCGTGCACTCAGCTAGTAATTCTGGAGGGTGGGTGGTTGATGGTGGTGATTCGGGAGGGGTGTGCAGAGAAGATGAGCGCTTGGCACCACCGCAAGACCTGGCCCTCCCAACTGCCTCGAGAGACTTTCCTGCGTGCTGCATTTTGAATGGGCTTGCATGCTCGCCTGCATGCTTGCCAGAATGCCTCGTTTCGCTTGTTTGCCTTGTCCCTTCGGATTTTCGGGCCTCGCTTCTTCGCTCTCGGGGATTTGCCGACCCGGGTCAGTCAGACCCGGGTCAGCAGGAAACCAAAAAAACTGCCATGCAGGAAAACAAAACTGCAACGCAGGGCCTCGCAGACCCGGGTCGGCCAATATTATGCGCGGCCGCCCCGCGGCCACGAGCGGCTCGCGGAACCGATTCAGCCAGAGGGGGTCTTCGCAGGATCCTGCAGTATCCGGTGCCCTGGCTGACCCCCGTTTGCATTAGGTCGGGCCTGTCCCCCTACAGGGGGATTTTGGGCGAACAAATTTTAAAATACTCCAAAAATGCAAAGAAATAGTCAAACAAAAATCAAAAAGTAGTCCCCAGACTAATGTTTGACTATTTTGTTGTTTTCCCCCTGTAGAGGGACAAGCCCGACTTAACGTTTGCATTGACCGACTCCCGTCTCAATGCATCTGACGCTCGGTCAATGTCCCTCCGCCGGTGGCAGCTCCGACCCTCGCTCGTTCGTCTCTCGGGCCCTCGCTCGGCCCCCCCCGCCTCGCGCACCCTCTGGGAGCTGGCGCTTGCCTCCGACCCACGGCCAGGCCCGAGCCTTTGGCCGACCAGACCGCCTCGGGAACGCGGGCCAAGAAGCACCCGGGGGAGACGACAAACAAGCGAGGCGGGCACTTATCCAGAACCACCACCTGCCGAGGCCCCCGAAGATGGATGCCCCGGCGGCTATGGGCACGCAGAGTACATCCCCGCCCTGGAAGAGGGTACCGCTACCGCTATGCTCCCCGAACCTCTCCGAGGGCGCGGTCTGCTCAGGACCTCGAAGCGCATCCGGCCGCCGTGGCGACGAGGGAAGCGCAGCAGCCTCGGCACGCCCCTCCCCGGACGCTCTCGGCCTCCCCCCGGGAGCCGGCTCCTCGTCCAGGACTGCTTTGTGCGCGGGGGCACGGGGCCGGGAGGCGGAAGCGGGGGCGCGCGCGCGCTCCTCCGTGCTCGGGCATCGGCGCCACCCCGTGGCACGTGGATCGCTTCCCGAGCATACTATATGGATTCTATGGCCAGAGCGCGCCCGCCGAGGAGCTCCTTCTGCACTGTGAGGCTGTCCGAGCCTGCGCGTCGCCCTCGCGTGGCCCCGACGCGCACACACGCCCTGTAAACTACCCGCCTGGGACGCACCCCCGGCCCTGTGCCTGTCGGGCGCGGCCTAACCGGCCCCCTGGCAAGCCATCCCCTTCCGCGACGTTCCCCGCGCCTCTCAAACTCCTCTGTGGCCGCACACATACGTCTTGGGGCGAGGCGAGGGGGACGCCACGGAAGGGATGGCTTGCCAGGGGTCGGTAAGGCCGCCCCTGAGCTTGGCGTCGCCCCAGCACGATGCCGATCTTAGGGACTCCCTCGGTTTCGGAGGGCGCGTCCCCAAGATTGTCATCGCATCTTGGCTCGTGGAGCTTGTCTTACTCCGCATGTGTTGGGTGGTGCCGATCCTGCGGCCTGCGAGGAAGTCGCCCCGAGCGCGGGCCGCCTCTCCGAACAACTCGCACACCCGGTCGCGGCGCCCGCTCCCCCGCCCGGCGGGTCTGCCTCACCCCTCCCAGTCCTGGTCGGGGCTGGAGGAGCCACTTCTGGGCTGTGGGTCGTGATCTGGGGGGGACACAAGGATTCCGGCACCGCCTCTCCCCGAAACCCCTCCCGAAGTGCGCTCCGACCAGAATCTAGAAGGGGACCCAGCAGTGGCGACGGTGACCCTCCAGGGGACGAGAGGCGGCATCGGCATCCTTTCCCCCTCCCCCTTGAGGGTGCGGGGGGGGCCACTCTGGCTTGTGAGTCGTGGCCATCGTGCTCCTTTCGAGCAGGGACCGGCCGTCCCAGCAGTCCTATAGGCGCACCACAGCATGCCCTCAGAACAAGATTCTAAGAACAGGCCCTGCAAGCTGCGAAACAGGCGTTCAGAACTTCCCTTCGCGGGCCTTGAGGCGAGCCAAGACGCCTCGACACTGCTGGCTCATTCCCTCGACGGAGGCCTGCACAAACGCTGCGGAGGTCTGCCTCCCGAGTGAGCCGGCGCCGTGCTCTGCGCCGCGTCGCGCGGGGGCGGAGATCCCGCTGCACCTGATCCTCCCCCGGATGTCCCTGGAGGCCTCCGCGGGTTCTGAAGGCCAGAGAAAGTGCCGAAACATCCCAACGCCTCGGTCCTCAACCCCTCCACGCCGTGGGTGGGCGCGGCTGGAGAGCTGACGCAGCAGACCGCTTGTGACTCGACGCCAACAGCCGATACCACCCCCGTCTCTGCAACGACCCCCCCCTCTAGCGCATGTGGTCTCGACGCCGCCTGACGCCAATCTGATTCGGCCTGCGCCTGTCGACCAGGACGCATTGAACGGCGCAAGCTTGGCAGCCCCCTGGACGAGGGACAGGTCCAGAAGACGCGAGCAGATGGGCTCCCCCTGCGCCTGCCAGCACGAACCTGTGGTACAGCATGCGTGTGCGAGCCGGGAGGCCGTGGAGAGCACAACCCACCCCCACCGGACGAGCGCGTTCCACTACTCGCAAAGTAGCTGCTCGCAAATGGCCTGGGGGATCTACAACAACTTGCATGGAAGCAGACATGTGCTTTTTCGGGCGTTCGCGAGTAGACACTCTGCGAGTAGTGGAACGCGCTCGGTGACCCACCCTCAGCCAGGACCCCCTGGATAACCAGATCGGGGTGGAGGGTCCTGGCTGGGGGTGGCCGTGGGTTGTGCTGTCCTCAGATACACCTTCGCCGTCGACACGGCACCCGCAGAAGAGCGCTACCACGAGGAGCACGAGATTGCCGGGCCCGCCCGGAGCCCGCGATCCTGGGCGAAGCCTGCGCGCTCCCCCAAAAGCACGCCGACCGCGGGCAGCATCATCCCGAAGATGGTGGAGCACGGCCGAGACTTCCACCAGCGCACATGCGTAAAAACCGCGAAGGCCAAGATGGCCTGACGGGTTCTGAGGCCCCCATCGGTGGCGACATCGGAACCCTCCTCCTACCAACCATGGCTTTTCCTGAATGGATGGTGGCGGGGGTATCCGCATTTCGCCACGTGCTCGACGCATTCCGAGCCCTGCCCCCGCCGCCCATCGAGCTGCCCGAATCAAAGATCGGCGAGGGCAGGGTTCGGACTTCGCCGCCGAAAACCTGCGCATGCCAAGACCTCCTGGCGGCGCCTGGGGCCACCCGGGACCGATCCTGCCGTGCTTCCCCAGAACGCCCGAGCGCCCAGCACGCGAAGAGCTGCACCCCGCTGCACTCTCGGCGCAGGAGCCCCCGCGCCAAGCGGCGACGTGTGCCGCCTCGACACAGCCGCACCAGGGGTCCCTCCTCCTCTTCCTCCCCCTCCTCCTCCTCCTCCCCCCTCCCCTCCTCCTCCTCCTCTCCTCCTCCTCCTCCTCCTCCCTCTTCCTCCCTCCCTCCTCTTCCTCCTCTCCTCCTCCTCCCCCTCCCCCCCCTCCTCCTCCTCCTCCTCCTCCTCCTCCTCCTCCCCCTCCTCCTCGGGCGACGGGGCCTGTGCGCAGCCACCGCCTCTGGCCAGGCCCCATCCCGGGCCCACAAGCGGCGTAGTTAACTACGCCGCCCTGTCTTCGACCCAGGGAGGCGTATATAGGGGGCAAACAAACCTACCTCGCTTTTGACCACCCTCGCTTCCAAGAGATTCCAAGCGAGGCCAAACTACGGCATGTACTGGTCAGGCCGCTTGACGAGGAGGCGTATGGTATGACTTTGTTTTGCCTGGAAGCGAAAGCGGGGTAGGTAATTCACGCTCTGAGTATAGGCACCGCTCCCTGGCCTGGGGGGGCGGGCCTGGCCGGCGACCTGTGGATGTGTGTAGTCGGTGGCCAAACATGAACCCTACCCGTATGTCGGGCATGTCCCCCTACCGGCAGATTCTGGAGAACAGAAACTGTCAAAGAATATTCAAAGATGGTCAAAATAATCGAAAGATCGTCCCCAGACTAATTGTTTTACCATGTTCGAAAATTCCTCCTGTAGAAGGACAGGCCCGACTTAACCCTACCCTCACCCCCCACAATTTCTAAGGGGGGGGGGGTCATTTCGTTCGGGAGGTCCCGAGCGGAGTGAACCCCCACCCCCACCCTCAAAAATCGTGTGGGGCGGGGGGGCAGGGTCACATGTGGCCACTAAATATAGATCTCGTCGCCCTGCTTTCTCTGCTGCCGCAGGCCGCTTCCACTCCTGGGGCCCGAACCCAAAAAAAACGCCCCGGATGAAACAACGGCCCACGGGAAAGCAGTCGAGAACTATGGCGCGACCCGTCACGGAAGAACGCAACGACAGAGGCCAGTGCAGTTCCTGAAGCTTGACCACATTTTCCCGATCGGGATCGGCGAAGCCTTCGCCGGCGCATCGGGACAAAAGGCGGCCCTTTGACGGTCCGCAGGAGCTTGACTGCCGTCAGGCTACCATTTCACGGTAACCAACATGGTGCACATGTTGCGCGAAGCTTCTCCAAAGCGCCCAGAGCACTCAAAGCCGCAACTCGCAACACGGAAACGGGCATAAATGACTCGGGTACTGCCCAATCGTTAAAAATCGAACTACCGAGACCATGCTTCGTCTGCGGTGCCCTTCAGAAGTTAAGAAACATTAAGGCCCTGGCCAAAAGCATAATCGAAACTTCCTGGATGTGTACAAGTGACATGCATAGTGCCAACGGGTGTGCAGGCCCACTCAACGCGGATCATTTGAGAGTTCACAGCTTCCGACACAAGAACTTTGAG